GCTGGTTGTCGACGACTACACGCGCTACACCACGGTCTTCCCCTTGCGCACCAAGGGTGTGGTCCCTGATGTTTTGATCCCCTGGATCCGCGCTGCTCGTCTCCAGCTCCGCGACCGGTTCCAGTCGGACTTTCCCGTCCTGCGTCTGCACTCTGACCGAGGTGGTGAGTTCTCCTCTGACCTCCTGGCAGCCTACTGTGCGGAGCACGGCATCCGCCAGACTTTCACGCTTCCGGCCTCTCCTCAGCAGAATGGGGTTGCTGAGCGCCGCATTGGCTTGGTCATGGAGATCGCTCGTACCTCCTTGATCCATGCGGCTGCCCCCCATTTTCTGTGGCCGTTTGCGGTCCAGTACGCTGCGCATCAGCTCAACCTCTGGCCCCGTGTCTCCGCTCCGGAGACCTCGCCCACACTGCTGTGGACGGGGCAGGTTGGCGATGCGTCGCGTTTCCGTGTCTGGGGTGCTCGTTCCTTTGTCCGTGATACCACTGCGGACAAGCTCTCCGCCCGCGCTGTGCCTTGTGTCTTCCTTGGCTTTGTCCCCGACGCACCTGGTTGGCGGTTTTACCACCCCACCTCGCGCCGTGTCTTTGCGTCTCAGGACGTCACCTTTGACGAGTCGGTACCCTTCTACCGTCTGTTCCCCTACCGCACTGCTCCTCTCCCCCCCCCGCCTCTCTTCCTCACCCCAGGTGCCCCTCCGGTAGACCCCCTCCCTCCCCAGGGTCCTGCTCCCTCAGGTGTTTCCCAGGTAGACGCAGTCGAGCCTGTCGAGGTAGCTGTTGACTCTGGTCCTGAGCAGGGTACTGAGCCTGGGGGCACTGAGACTGGGGGTGCTGCGCCTGGGGGTGCTGCGACTGGGGGTGCTGAGCCTGGGGGTGCTGCGACTGGGGGTGTTGAGCCTGGGGGTGCTGTGACTGGGGGTGCTGCGCCTTGGGGTGCTGCGACTGGGGGTGCTGAGCCTCGGGGTGCTGAGCCTGGGGGTGGTGACCCTGCTGGTGCTCCCTCTCCACAGCGACTACGTGAGTGGTACGCTCGGCGCTGCGGCCTCCGGAGTGGAGCCCCTCGTTTTGAGTTACCCCCTGCTGGAGGTACTGGAGCTACTGGAGGTGCTACTGGTGCTGCTGGTGCTACTGGAGGTTTTGGAGCTGCGGGCGGTGCTGCCGGTGCTGCTGGAGGTACTGGGGCTGCTGGAGGTGCTGCTGGTGCTGCTGGAGGTACTGGTGCTGCTGGCGGTGCTGCTGGTGCTGGTGGAGGTACTGGAGCTGCTGGAGGTGCTGCTGGGGGTACTGGAGCTGCTGTAGCTCCTATTGGTGCTCCTAGTCCTGGGACTGGTGGTGCTGCTGTCGCTGGTACTACTGGAGGTCCTGGGGTTGGCACTCCTGGAGGTGCTACTGGTGCTACGGGAGCTGGAGCTGCTGCTGGAGGTTCTGGTGCTGTCTCTGCTGGTTCTGGGGGAGCGTCACGGCCGCGGCCGTACTTCGTTCCGCTTCTTCGGCAGGTTCTTGGTCAGCCGCCTCCTCCTTGTCCTGCTCCCTCCTTAGGGTGTCCTTCGCCTGTCCGACCACAGTCGCAGTTCCAGCCCACCTCACCTCTTCCTGGTCCTTCTCCCTACACTGGTCCGACAGGAGGTCTTACAGAGCGTCGTGAGCGTGAGTCTCGTCCTGTGTCACCTGAGTCTCGTTCTGCGTCACCTGTTCGTGATGCTCGCCCTAGTCGTCGTGTCCCGCGTCAGCGTCCTCCTGCTGTCCCCGGCACTCACCCGATGCTGCTTCGTCTTTCCACTGCTCCACGGCGTGTCCCTCTGCCTTCTCCTCCTGCGTCCTCCCTTCCTGCCCTTGCTGACCCAGAGTCTGACTCTCTTCGTGCTGCTAGTCCTACTGTCGCGCGTCTCCTGTCCACAGTTGTCACTGACCCTTCCTTTGAGTCAGCTGCTGCGTCTGCCTTAGTCACTGAGCTTGTTGACTTTGCTGCTCACTGTAGACTAGACTACGCTGCCGGTCTTGTTGCTGAGTCTGATTCTGTCTGTCCTCCGTCCGTCGGGGGTGAGTGTGCTCTTAGCACGGACGTCCTTGAGGACAGGCAGGAGGAGTTTGAGTGCTTTGTTGCCGCTGTACCTCATCTCGTGTCCATGCTGATTGCACCTGAGGGAGACCCGGATGCTCCAGACATCCCGACCCCGCGCTCTTACGCTGAGGCGATCGCGGGTGAGTACTCCTCTCAGTGGCAGTCAGCCATGGATGCAGAGATGGCATCCTGGAAGTCCACTGGCTCTTACGTCGACGAGGTTCCCCCTCCTGGGGCGAACATCGCCAGTGGCATGTGGATTTTCAGGGTGAAGCGGCCGCCAGGTTCTCCGCCTGTCTTCAAGGCTCGGTACGTCGCTCGAGGCTTCAGTCAGCGAGAGGGAGTAGACTTCTTTCAGACCTTCTCCCCCACCCCGAAGATGACCACTCTTCGGGTGCTGCTGCACGTTGCCGCTCAGCGTGACTACGAGCTTCACTCTCTTGACTTCAGCACAGCTTTCTTGCAGGGCAGTCTGCACGAGGAGATCTGGCTGCGCCGTCCACCTGGCTTCACTGGGTCGTTTCCTCCTGGTACCCAGTGGAGCCTCCGGCGGCCGGTCTACGGTCTCCGCCAGGCTCCACGTGAGTGGCACGACACACTGAGGACTACACTTGCGGCTCTTGGGTTCTCGTCTTCTACTGCTGACCCGTCGCTGTTCCTGCGCACCGACACTTCACTGCCGCCGTTCTACATCCTCGTGTACGTCGACGACTTGGTCTTTGCCACTGCTGACACTGAGTCTCTCGCCCACGTGAAGTCCGAGCTGCAGAAGAGACACACGTGCACAGACCTGGGTGAACTGACAAGCTATCTTGGCTTGCGGATCACCCGGGACAGAGCACGCCGCACCATCACACTGACTCAGTCACACATGGTGCAGCAGATCCTTCAGCGCTTCGGCTTCACCTGGTCCTCACCACAGGCCACTCCTCTGGCTATAGGTCACTCGCTCTCAGCTCTGCCTTCGGATGAGTCCGTAGAGCCGAGTGGTCCTTACCCAGAGCTAGTTGGTTGCCTCATGTACCTGATGACTTGCACTCGTCCTGACCTAGCATACCCTCTTGGCCTTCTGGCCCGCTACGTGGCTCCTGGCAGGCACCGAAAGGTGCACTGGGATGCTGCAAAGAGGGTATTGCGCTACTTGTGCAGTACATCGGGCATGGGGCTCGTGCTTGGAGGGAGGCGCTCAGTTGTTCTCACTGGGCACTCAGACGCTTCTTGGGTTGACGACCAGGCTACTCAGCGGTCGTCACAGGGTTACACCTTCAGCCTTGGCTCTGGTTCAGTTTCTTGGCGTTCTACTCGCTCGTCTTCAGTTCTCAGCTCCAGTTGTGAGGCTGAGATCTACGCCACAGCCATGGCTGCACAGGAGTTACGCTGGCTGACCTACCTTCTGACTGACCTGGGAGAGCGGCCTAGTTCTCCTCCAGTACTGTACGTCGACAACAAGGCTGCCATTGCCTTGTGTCAGGAGCACAGACTGGAGCACAGAACGAAGCACATCGCTCTCCGTTACTTCCTGGCTCGAGAGCTGCAGCAGCGTGGTCAGCTTTGTCTGCGTTACGTGGCCACTCGGGCCAACACTGCTGATATATTCACCAAGGCACTTCAGCCTGGTGATCATCAGCGCTTCTGTACTGTCCTGGGGCTTGTGCCCAGTGTTCCTCACTTACTGTAGGCTTTGTCTGTACTGTGATCTCTATATATATATATACCTGCTTGTTTGTTTTGTTAGGTTGAGATCGCCTTGCTGTTTGTGTTGTCTATATATGCCTCTGCATTTGAACTGGCCCTGTGGCCCTTTGCTTGTGCTCAGACTGTGTGGTGACGTTGTGATCCACCCTGAGCTTGCTTTGCCTTTCTTGACTGGTCTTGTGACCCCTTGCTCTCCCCCACTTTGCCCATGGGGGTGTGTCAAACATTATCATATATGTTATTGATGTGTAGGCTATAGTGGGTTAGCCTTTAGGGGGTACACAACTCTAGGGTTTCATATTTGTACCCTCATCTTTCATAGTTCAACCACTTCTTCATTCTGACACTTTTGTGCGTCGAGTCAGCATGTGCTGTCATTCTGTCAGTTTGAGTTGGCATGGAATCACTCCCTGCCAAGCTGCGCGAGAATCAAATTCGCCACCCTATATGTTTTCGACTCGATTACAATCGGCAGAACGAGATCTACAGTTTGGTGTAAAACATATAGAAATTCTTTTTGCCATTTTATAAACGCCGGCGCTTATAAAATTCCTCGATTATAAGCGCACCCCCTAAAAAACAGTGTTTTTTATACCCCCAGGGGCGCTTCTATCCGGGGGCTGACGGTATCCTAGAACGAAATCGTCGTGGTTTTAAGGACTAAAATGTCATAGTCACTTTTGTTTTGGAAACTCTGCCCAGGAGATTGGGATGCAGTGTTGCTGTCCTAATGAGGTTGGATTACATTTTTATTTCTTTACGTACAGAGATAACAAGAACACACGTGAATGTTTCTTTTTCTGTCACGTGGGGTGTATCTAACTTATAACATGCCTGAATAGAACCACTGTTAAATGTCCTTAATCCGCGGGATTACGGTAAGCCTAGCTCATTACGGTTTATCATGCTAAATATGTTAAATGTGTTCCATACAATGATTGTAGTATGCAATACATTTGCGTGGGAGCCTCAATTACAGTCAACATGACAATACCATTGCCGCTCTGCTCTGCTCCGTTGGGGCAGCGCTGCTCGTCTCTTCGTCAAGGTGAGCAGGCGATAGATCGCAGATTTGCGAAGTGACCACTCGTGGTCCTGGAGAGAACACACACAAGCACACAGCAGCAAACCGCAGGTTGTGGATCACTCAATAACGGGTATCCAGAGACAAGCTTCTTGGGGGGTGGAGGGGAAAGAACAGGGGAAGGTGCAGAGGCAGAAGCGAAGGCAAGAGGTACTCACTCCAAGGTTGTGAGACCGTTGGCAGCCTTGTACTTGCCGCTGGACCAGCCAGAGCAGTCAGTGTCGTTGTTGAACCACATCAGCCCGCACGTCTGCCGCTCTCCCACTGCCCCGTCTGGCACGTGCCACAGGACTTTTATTGACCCCACCGCTCCTGCAAAGGGTGCAGGGACGTTGACGCAGCCCGCGCCGGGCGTTGGGGCTCGGAGCACGACGGGCGCGAGGGAGGCGGGTGTGTTGGTGAAGTTGGGCGAGTTGTAGAGCACCAGGCTGGTTGTCACTGTGGTGGGGGCCGCTGTTGGGGGGGGGAGAGAGCGAGGGAGGGAGGGAGGGAGAAACGGACAGAGGAAAAAGGGAGAGAGGGAGAACGAGACAGAGATAAATAAAGAGAGGGAGGGTGAGAGAGGGCACGAGAGGATGTGATCGGGACAGGTGCGTGTGCTGATGGTGAGAAGCTATAGCGGGATGTGCTTGTAACGAGTACCTTGAATGCAGGTGCTGTTGACAAGGGAGTAGGAGGCGGGGCAGGCACAGAAGGGGTTGTCGTCGCTGGTGGCCGTGCAGCGAGACGTGGAGGGGCATTCTATCCCCACACATATCGGCACTGCAGAGGGGTGACGAGGGGTGTGGACGGGTGAGGAGGGGGTCTAGGAGGATGGGGATACAATGAGTGAGGATGGGTGAAGGAGGGGGACACACAAAGAAGCAGGAAGCAGCAGCAGTAGAGTGTGGGCAGGACAGCACACTCACAGAGGCAAGTGTTGGGGGCAACAAGCAGCGTCCCCTTGGGGCAGGCGCACTGCGCCGTGCCCGTGCTGCCATCACACACCAGGTCGCCTGCTGGACAGCTCACTCCAATGCACGGGTCTGGGCAAGGGAGGGGGGAGGGGGAGGAGGGAGGAAGAGTGGGAAAGGAAGGAAGGAGGGGAGGTGCACGACCAATGTGAGGATGATCCAGGCCCCATGGGGTGGGTGGCGAGGGAGTGATGGTGAGACGGGAGATGGAGAGACATAGGGAAGAGGGGGTGGAGACGTGGGATGGAGGCATGGGATGGAGGCGTGGGATGGAGGCATGGGATGTGCATGAGATGTTGGGGGCAGGTGCGCACCTGGTAGGCACTGCGAGCTGTTGACGAGCGCCTGACCGGCAGCACAGGCGCACACGGGCTTGCCGTCCACTGCTGAGCACGTGGAGGTGGAGGGGCACTGCACTCTGAAGCACAGGTCTTGCACTGCCGGGGAGGTGACGGTGGGGGATGGGTGGAAAAGGGAGGTGTGGGGATGCGGGGTGCTGAGAGAGGTGCGGGTTGGAAGGGCAAGGGCGTAGAGTACAGGCCATGGGCCATTAGTTCAGCACAGCACCGAACTGCACCGCACTACACAGCACAGCAGAGCAACTAGGTTCACACGGGTGGTAGGTGGGAAAGCAGGCGGTTGAAGCTGACTCTTGCTCATGCCGACAGCACTGGACAACGGCGCTCTCTCTCACCATACGGCATCTGCTGACCACATGAAAGGTGGGAGCTCAGATGATGCCACTGAGGCAAGGCGTGTGAATAGGCATGGGGATGGGGCAAGGCGTGTGTGAAGGTGAAAATGGATGGAGCGTTGAGGGGCTTGAGGGGCTTGAGGGGCTTGAGGGGCTTGAGGGGCAGGAAGCTCACCATAGGGCAGCTGACCGCCGTAGTTGCCTGGCGGGTAGTAGTGGCAAGCCCACACGTCCGCACTCGTGCCGCACGATGCCTTGCCACACCCCACCGAGCGCGTGTCGCTCCAAATGACCTGCGTGTTGTGCCCACACTTTTCCCACTGGCCGCCCGCACAGCCATCAGGGAAAACAGCCACGGAGTACCACTGGCCCTCGTTCACCCACAGCTGCGCTGCTGCTCCATTCGTCAGCTGCCCCGAGGGGCTGCCTCCTGCGAGGTTCTGCCCCTCGCCGTCATGCCCGCTGTGCACGAGGGAGCAGTTGTACGTGCTGTTGGAGAGTGCTGTCGGCCATGCCTGCGCGTGCGCCGCCACTGGGGGGAAAAGGGGAGAGAAAAATGAGTGCTAGTCACACCATTTGTGAATGCACTCATGCGTCTCTCTCCCTCACAACTCACATGTGCCGTCCCACACTCATATGCATGCATGCATGCATCACTCTCCTCTCAACAGCACTCGCATGCACCACCCACACTCACATGAGTCGTCCCACACGAGTGGCACGGCTCCCACGGCAGCGCAGGCGTGGTTGTGAACATCGAGGTAGTCGGAGTGGGGGAGGTCGGCCGAGGAGCACCTTCCGTCGATCAGGCGCGCGTAGGGCGATGGGCACTGGCACACCGCTGTACCGCCCTGCACCACACACGTGGCCACGTCCGAACACTTGACCCCGTAGCATGGGTCTGAGTGGAGGGAGAGGGAGGGTGGGTGGAGGGTGGGGTGTGGGAGGAAATGTGAGGAAGAGGGGCGAGGAAGGGGGGGGCGAGGAAGGAAGCTGGGAGGATGAGACTCGTGTACACCGGTTAGCACCAATAAGCATCTAGTGAGCGGCAATGTCAAACATTTGACAACATCGTAATCACCTGGGCAGGAGCACTTGGCAATGCCAGCAGAAGAGGAGCAGGTGCAGTTGAGGGGGCAGGTGACGATCTTACACATGTCCACCTCTGGTGAGAGGGGCAGTGGGAGAGAGATTGCGGGTGGGGGAATGGGTGGCAGGTGGAAGCAAGGTACGAAAGGGTGGGGGGGAGAAGGAGGGAGTGGAAGAAGAATGAAGGCACAGATGTGTATAACGGGAGAAGGAACGAGGAAAAGGAAGGGCGAACGAGAATGAACAAAATCCAAATGCTGCTTCCCCTCAATCTGCCCATTGGCCTTGGAGCGCCAGTGCCCTCCAACACACACACACACGCAGTTGGCCGGGCATCCCGCTGCACACGCCCCGCTGCTACCGCCCCACCTGCCCAAGCTGCCACTGCTGCCCCTCTCACCTGTGCTACCGGTGCTGTCAGTGCCACCCGTGCTGCCGGTGCTGCCGGTGCTGCCAGTGCCATCCGTGCTGCCGGTGCTGTCAGTGCCGCCCGTGCTGCCGGTGCTGCCGGTGCCGCCCGTGCTGCCTGTGCTGTCACTGCCGCCCGTGCTGCCGGTGCTGCTGGTGCCGCCTGTGCTGCTGGTGCTGCCGGTGCCGCCCGTGCTTCCAGTGCTGCCGGTGCTGCCCGTGCTGCCCGTACTGCAGGTGCCGCTCGTGCTGTACGTGCTGTCTGTGGTGCCGGAGCAGGCGATGGATCTCACTGTTGCAAAGTTACCACTCGTGGTCCTGCAGAGCACAACACAACCACAAGCAGACAGCAGCAAACCGCAGTCAGTGGATCACCCAATATAGGGTATACAAGGCAAGCTCAAGGGGCGGTGGAGGGGCAAGCACAGGGGAGAGGAAGGTGCAGAGGCAGAAGCGCAGGCAGCAGGTGCTGTCGCAAAGGTTGTGACTCACGTAAAGGTTGTGACACCGCTGTTGGGTTTCTACCAGCCGCTGGACCAGCCAGAGCAGTCGGTGCGATTGTTGAACCACATCAGCTTGCACACCTGCCTCACCCCCGCCGCCCCGTCCGGCACGTCCCACACGATTTTGATCGATCCTGCCGCCCCTGCGAAGGCTGCCGGGATGTTGACGCAGCCCGCGTCGGGCGTGGCGGCTCGGAACACGACGGGCGCGAGGGAGACGGGTGATTTGGTGAAGTTGGGCGAGTTGTAGATCACCAGACTCGTTGCCACTGCGGCAGGGGTCGCTGTGGGACGAGGAGAGAGAGAGGGAGGCATGGAAAGAGGGAGATGGGAAGGGAGGGAGGGAGGAAGAGAGGGAGAAGGGGACATAGTTAGAAAATGGGAGGGAGGGAGAGATCACGGACGAGAGCGTGGAAGGTGAGTGGAGGTCAGCAGGGCTTACAGTGCTTGATAGCAGTGATCGGGACAGTGCGTGTGTGTGAGCTGATGGTAAGAAGCTATAGCGGATTTTCTAATAACGAGTACCTTGAGTGCAGGTGCCGTTGACGAGGGAGGAGCAAGCAGGGCAGGCACAGAAGGGGATGTCGTCTTTGCTGGCCCTGCAGCGAGACATGGCGGGGCACTGCACCCCCACACATACCGGCGCTGCAGAGGGGTGGCAGAGGGTGAGAAGGAGGAACAAAGGTTGTGGAGGGGTGCAATGGAGTGTGGACAGGTGAGGAGGGCTGACGAGGGGTGATAGCGAGTGCGGAGAAGGGTGAGGAGGGGTGAGGAGGGGTGAGGAAGGGTGAGGATGGAGCACGAGGGTGTGGATGATGAAGGTGATGAAGCCGGGGTGGGAGCACACTCACCGAGGCACGTGTTGGGGGCAACGAGCACCGTCCCCTTGGGGCAGGAGCACTGTGCCGTGCCGGTGCTGCCGTCACACACCAGGTCGCCTGCTGGACAGCTCACTCCAATGCTCGGGTCTGGGCGAGGGAGGGGGGTGTGAGGGGGTGGGGAAAGGAAGAGAGGGAAAAGGGGGAAGGAAGGGAGGCGCACGATGAGAGGGTGGATGGTGATGGAGTGATGGTGGGACGGGAGATGGAGAGACATCGGGATGGGCAGTGCATGGGAGGTGCACGAGGGGCAGGTAGAAGAAGAAAGGGTGGTGGGGGCAGGTGCGCACCTGGTAGGCACTGCGAGCTGTTGACGAGCGCCTGACCCGCTCCACACATGCACACGGGCTTGCCGTCCACTGCTGAGCACGTGGAGGTGGAGGGGTTGAGCAGCAGGGCGCTCACCATAAGGCCACTGGCCGCCCCAGTTGCCCGACGGGTAGTAGTGGCACGCCCACACGTCCGCACCCGCGCACGATGCCTTGCCGCAGCCCAGCTTGCGCGTGTCGTTCCAAATGACCTGCGTGTAGTGCCCACACTTGGCCCAGTTGCCGCCCGCACAGCCGTTGGGGTGGACGTCCACGGTGTAGCACTGCCCCTCGTGCACCCACCACCCCGACGCATCTGCGCCCGTCTTGATCCCCGCAGGGCTGGCAGAGGCGAGGTTCTGCCCCTCGCCGTCATGCCCTCCGTGCACGATTGAGCAGCTGTAGGACGTGTTGGTCAGCGCTGTCGCCCATGCCTGCGCGTGCGCCGCCACTGGGGGGATAGGCAGAGGGGGGAAAGGGGAGGAGAGGTGAGGAGAGGGCGATGCATGGTGGAAGTGGGCTGAGATGTGCATGGCATGTGCATGGCATGTGCATTGCCTGTCCGGGCGAGAGGCAGTCACACGAGAGGAAAGCGCAACCATGCATGCGTTGGAGTGGCGAGGCAGGCTGACGATGGGACGACCCACTCTAACGCACCCCATGAAACGATGGGGGAAAGAAGCTCACTCACCTGCGTCATCCCACACAAGAGGCACGGCCCCCACAGCAGCGTGGGCGTTGTTGTGAACATCGAGGTACTCGGAGTGGGGGAGGTCGGCCGAGGAGCACTTGTTGTCATTGAGGCGTGTGAATGGTGCGGGGCACTGGCACACCACTGTACCGCCCTTCACCACACACATGGCCACGTCCGGACACTTGACCCCGTAGCATGCGTCTGAAAAAGGGAGGGGGATGCGGGGGAGGGATATGTAGAGAGGGGTGTGAAAGAGCACTTGGCACTGTTGCTATTACCTGAGCGGGAGAACTGGCACTTTTGCAATCACATGAGCAGGAACATTCGGCTCTGTTGCAATCACCTGGGCGGCAGGAGCACTTGGCATTGTTGCAATCACCTGGGCAGGAGCACTTGGCAATGCCAGCAGAAGAGCAGTTGCAGTTGGTGGGGCAGGTGACAATCTTACACATGTCCACCACTGGTGAGAGGGAGTGAATGGGCAAAGGGAGGGGGGGAAACGGGTGGCAGGAGAGGGAGTGGAAGGAGCATGAAGGCACAGGTGAATGGATGACGGGAGACGAAAAGAGACGAGCAACGGGACGAATGAGAACAAGAGAAGGACCTGTGAAAGAGCAGGGGCAGGGGTGTGAGGAGAAGGGGTGTGAAAGAGCACTTGGCACTGTTGCTACTGCCTGAGCAGGTGAACAGGCACTGTAGCAATCACCTGAGCAGGAGCGCATAGCGATGTTGCAACTACCTGAGCAGGAACACTCGGCTCTGTTGCAATCACCTGGGCAGGAGCACTTGGGAACGCCAGCGGAAGAGGAGCAGTTGCACCTAAACCCTAAACCCTAAACCCTAAACCCGTGCTACCACAGTACCTGTGCCACCCGTGCTACCACAGTACAGTACCTGTGCCGCCCGTGCTACCACAGTACCTGTGCCGCCCGTGCTACCACAGTACCTGTGCCGCCCGTGCTACCACAGTACCTGTGCCGCCCGTGCTACCACAGTACCTGTGCCGCCCGTGCTGGCTGTGCTACCACAGTACCTGTGCCGCCCGTGCTGGCTGTGCTACCACAGTACCTGTGCCGCCCGTGCTGGCCGTGCTACGACAGTACCTTTGGGGGCGATGGCGGTGAGGCACGACATGGACTGCGCTTTCAGCACCACTCCCGCTGCCACCCTGGTGGACGGGGCACAGTGGACACACGGGCGCGCGGAGGAGAGAAGCGATGGCATGGGTACAGAGGGAGCACAGGGCAATGGCATGGGTACAGAGGGAGCACAGGGCAATGGCATGGGTACAGAGGGAGCACAGGGCAATGGCATGGGTACAGAGGGAGCACAGGGCAATGGCATGGGTACAGAGGGAGCACAGGGCAATGGCATGGGTACAGAGGGAGCACAGGGCAATGGCATGGGTACAGAGGGAGCACAGGGCAATGGCATGCTGCACATTCACCTTCAGTTGACCTTTGACGATTTTCATACCCATTTGAAAATAATATTTGGAAGGTGTTGGGAGGTGTTGGGAGGTGTTGGGAGGAATAGCCAAGTGGAATGCCAGGCTGAAACGTCAACGTAATAGTTGGTCACGGCATGCTGCACGCTCACTCACTTGCTGGTGGCGGCGTAGGTGGTCTTGGCCGCGTCAGCCTTCTTCCACCCGCCCGGCACCTCAAGGGCCGAAGACGACCTGCTGTAGTCGCTCTGGTTCCAAAACACCACCTTCCCGCACATCACGCGGCTCGCATCGCTGCTTCCGTCCTTCGCGCTCCACAGGATGCGCAGCGACCCCACGGGGCCCGCACGCGGCGCGGGCAGGTTCACGCACGTGCGGTTCAGGATGGCGCCGCGCAGCACGACGGGCGGCGCGGGGGAGTACTTGGCGGTGGCGAATAGCAGCACGCTCGTCACCACCACCTGCCCGTCCACGGCTGGGCGGAGGGAGGGGAGGGGGGAGGAGTGGGAGGAGAACAGGGGAGCGGATGGGGAAGAGAAGGGGAGTGGGAGGGGGTTGAAGGGGAAGGGGAAGGAGAGGGAACGGAGTGCAGGCGAGGGGGAGAGAATGGGCAGGGTCTGGGCGAGAGCGAGAAAGCGGAGCGGGAAGTGGGTGTTGAGAGGAAGAGGGGGGGTTGGGATTCGGGAAAGCAAAATGGGGAGCATGACGAGCCGTTGATCTCACCTGGCACACACGAGCCGTTGATCTCACCTGGCACACACGAGCCGTTGATCTCACCTGGCACACACGAGCCGTTGACCTCACCTGGCACACACGAGCTGTTGATCTCACCTGGCACACACGCGCCGTTGATCTCACCTGGCACACACGCGCCGTTGATCTCACCTGGCACACACGCGCCGTTGATCAGCGCGAGGGTCTCGTTGCACTTGCAGAAGGGGAAGTTGCTGCCGTCCACGGCGCACGCCGCGCCTTGCGGGCACGTCACGTTCGTGCACGCCACGACGGCTGTGGCGGCCCGGGCGGGCGCGGACAGGCGGACGGAAGGGCGGTGCGGGGAGAGGAGGGGGATGAGCGAAGGGGAAAGAGCGGGAAGACTCCCCTCTCGCTCGGAACGACCGGCGGGAACAATGCAAGTCACTACAGCGAGGGGGGAGAAGGGGGGGAGCGGGAACGGATCGAAAGCCGTACGCGGTGGCGCAGACCCGGTGAAGCGGGCGCCGCCGTCACTGACGACGGTAGCTGACCAGGCGGGGGCTTTTTGGGCTTCGCGAACTGCTTCCTAAGCCGCCTGTGGAATGGAACATGCGACACCGTCGCAGGGCTCTCCAACCATCGCATGTGCGATCTAATTGCGACAACCGCGTCGCCGAATGTTGAGCGACGGCTGATCGCGAGAGCGGCCGACGCGAGGTGTTGGGAGAGGAGGGCGGAATGAAGCAGGAGGGCGAGAAGGGGGAGGAGGAAGGGGAGGCGGGAGGATGCGAATGGAGTCGTCATGCGCGCGCGCAGGGGGAGTGACGGGAGTAGCGCTATTTGCGGGGAGGCGACGTTTGCAGGAAAGCACAGAAGGTGGAGACGCGGGAACGGAGAAGAAAGGCAAAAGCTTGTCGAATTGGTGAGACCAGAGCAGCTTTGCCATTGTGGGGAATCTAGTGCTGCGAGAAAACTATGGAACAGTGGGGAGGTGTCTGGGAGAGGTGGGGTGGGACACAGACAACTGAGCACGGACACAAGACATTTGAATTTGAGTTTGTGTTCCCGCTCTACCTCAGTACAGAGTCTGTTGTAACAAGGTGCTGAAATCACTGTACAGTACTCCGGAAACCCATGAAACCAAGATGAACAGCATTTCCCTGCCCGCATCCAATCACATCGAAGAGGGTTGAAACCGAATGGATGGAACACGACTCGACACGAGACGAAGGCCAGTTTAGGGTGTGTGGCCCGAGCCGCGAGCCTAGGCTCTGACCTGAACCTAAGGTAGGGACAAACAGCAAAAGGGGCACCGTGCACAGTGTTTACAGCTGTTGAAGGGATCTCTAGAATTGCGGTTCGTAAAATAAAAAATACTGTACACATGAAAGAACTGACAAACGAGATTGTCAACAGCACCGACTTATCTTTCTCTCTTCTATCTTCTCTTCTTCCACCTTTCTCTTTCGGGAAAATATGTCAATGGTAACTTACATGGGGAACTATAACGAATAAGTAACGATTTCAACGCGTTTGGTAACTCGCTTAACGCGTTTCGTAACTCGCTTAACGCGTTTCGTAACTCGCTTAACGCGTATGGTAACTATACACTAGCAGCCCATCACGCGAATGGTAACTAGAAGATACCCTCGCCCAAAATGACCCTGATTCTGGTTTTTCCCGCTCGCGTCAGACTAAATTGACGAATCTTGAAGCAGAAATCTCTGACTCACTCTCCGAAATTCTGACACAATTTTCCGAAATTCTGACACACTTTCCGAAATCCTGACACACTTTCCGATTTTCAAGCTAATTGCAAAACGTAAGTGTTGTGAAAACAACTGTTAATACAAAACTGATATTCTGGCGCTCTTTCCGCAAACTGTTTGTACTTCATTCTATCGTGCAGCCGGGGCAAACGAAATCTATAACCCTTTCAGATGGCATGAATTTGAGGGCATCAACCCTAAACTCATTGCAACAAGGTGTTTATGGTTCATTTGTTTTCAAATAAAACATGTAATTCTCAACAGCTGTATTTTTTCCCACATGCAAAAATTCTCCAACGTTGCAGTTATTACAAAAAGTAAAGCCCCGAGGTTCTTTCGGGAAATGTTTTTTATCATTTTGCAAGTTCGCAATGATGCTATCAAAAATATGATTTGAACCGTCTTTGTACTAGCTACATATATATATATATAAAACGCCTCTGAAACTTTTCGGTCCATGGTAATATAACAAACGAGGTCCTTCAAAGTCGCGGCGGGACTTGTTTAAAAAGGATAAAACTGTGCGTAAACGCTTTCACAATTGATAAATTCCTTTTTGTCAGAATCATTTCGGCGGGAGTTTCATGTAGTTACCATTCGCGTGATGGGCTGCTAATGTATAGTTACCATACGCGTTAAGCGAGTTACCAAACGTGTTATGTGAGTTACCAAACACGTTAGCGGAGTTACCAAACGTGTTGAAATTGTTACCGTACGCGTTATAGTGCCCCATGTAAGTTACCATTGAAATATTTTCCCTTCTCTTTCTAACCACTTCTACCTCTCCTTTTCTTGCTCTCACTTCCTATTCCAAGATTTCGTATTGTACCCAAAGGCCTAGATTGTACATAAAATATGAATATAAATAGCATAATTCATGTATGAATGCATTCATTCATATAAGTAAATGAATTGAAGTAAATATGATATACAAAATATGAATATAAATAACAGATGGAAACACTGGCGTTCCCATCACAAAATTCTGGATTATGTTTACCCTCCAGACCAGCCCCTGTAACTTCTCTGCTCTATGCGGCATAGCTGCTCGTCTCAAGCTGCGCAGCTGATAGCTCGCAGTGCTGCCACGTCACCACTCGTAGTCCTGGAGAAGCAGACAGCATCAAACAGCAGTCAGCAAACAGGGTATCCAAGGGCAAGCCCGCGGGATGGTGGAGGGGCAGGCAAGCGCAGGGGGGAGGAAGAAGGTGCAGAGGCAGAAGCCCAGGCAGCAGGTACTCACGCAGAGGTTGTGACATTGTTGCCGGGACGCCCCCACCCAGTGGCATGGCCATAGCAGTTGGCCCCGTTCCAGAACCACATGAGGCGGCACACCTGCCGCACCCCCGCCGCCCCATCTGGCACGTCCCACAGGATCTGCAGCGACCCCACCGCCCCTGCCAGGGAGGAAGGGATGTTGACACAGCCTGCTGCTCCTGAGGCGCCAGGCGTGGCGGCCCGCAGGACGGTGGGGGCGAGGGAGGCGGGTGAGTTGGTGAAGGAAGGCGCGTTGTAGAGCACCACACTTGATGTCACTGTGGCAGGGGCGGCTGTGGAGGGGGGGAGAGGTGAGGGAGGGGAATAGGAGTGTGGGAACAGGTAAGCGCGATAGAGAAATGTTGTGGATGGAGTGGCTTCGCAGGACGAGTGCGGCAGGGCCTACAGCGCGGCAAAGGGAAGCTATAGTGAATGTGCTTATGAAGAGTACCTTGAGTGCAGGTGCCGTTGACGAGGGAGTAGGAGATGGGGCAGGCACAGAAGGGGATGCCGCCACTGGTGGCTTTGCAGCGAGCCGTTGAGGGGCACTCCACTCCCACACATGACGGCGCTGCAGAGGGGTGACAGGGAGTGAGGTGCGGTGAGGAAAAGTGAGGAGGGGTGCGGATGGTGAAGGTGAGAAGGCACAACGAAACAGGAAGCACAGCAGCGAGTGGGCGAGACAGGGTGCACGCGAGAAGAGAAACTCATGGCATTGAGGCACAGCACACTTACCCAGGCACGTGTTGGGGGCAACGAGCAGCAGCCCCTTGGGACACACACACTGCGCTGTGCCTGTGCTGCCATCACACACCAGATCACCCACTGGGCAACTCACTCCCTTGCATGGGTCTGGGCGAGGGAGAAGAGGGGGAGAGAGTGGCAGGGCAAGGGGACATGAGGGTGTGAGGGCGGTTGGGAGAGCATAGGCATGGTGGTGAGGAGTCATGCGGGACATGAGATGAGGCACGGGAGATGTTGGAGGCATAGAAGGTGCACAAGGGAAGCGATGGAGTGATCATGGTGGCACGTGGTGGGAGGGAGGGTGTGGGGTGGGACGGCATGCACGGTGGTGGGAGGAGGGTGTGGGGGCGGGGGGGGGGGGGGGGCACCTGGCTGGCACTGGGCGTTGTTGACAAGAACCTGGCCAGCATCACAGGCGCACACGGGCTTGCCGTCCACTGCTGAGCACGTGGAGGTGGAGGGGCACTGCACCCTGAAGCACGGGTCTTGCACTGCCGGGGAGGGGTACAGGAGGGGGGAGGAGGAAAAAGGAGATCGATGAGAAAGAGGAGACCGTGCGCCATGAGTACACCACCACACCGCACAGCACCTCACAGAATAGCACCGCGCAGCGCAGCCAATGGAGCACTCACCGTAGGGCCGCTGGCCGCCGTAGTTCCCGGGCGGGTAGTAGTGGCACGCCCACACGTCCCCACTCGTGCCACACGACGCCTTGGCACAGCCCAGCTTCTTGGAGTTGTTCCACACCACCTGCGTGTAATGCCCACATTTGCACCAGTTGCCGCCCTCACAGCCGTCGGGGAACACAGCAGCCGTGTACCACTGCCCCTCGTTCACCCACCAGCTAGCTGCTGCGGCATTGCTGGCCCAGCCGGAGGGACTGGCGCCTGAGAGGTTCTGCCCCTCGCCGCTGTTGCCGCCGTGCGTGAGGCCGCAGCTGTACGTGCTGTTGGTGAGCGCTGTTGCCCACGCCAGCGCGTGCGAAGCCACTGAGGGTGAGGGGAGAGAATGGGGGGAAGACAGGGGGGAGAGGCCATGAGCGGAAACGGAAACGCACGGTGGTTGTTACATGAACGAGCAGTGGCGAGGGCGTGAGTTGGATTGATTGCAGTGGCAGCGATGGATTGATTGGAGTGGCAGCGATGGATTGATTGCAGTGGCAGCACTGGGTGGCCTGAGAGGCAGCACTGGGTGGCCTGAGAGGCAGCACTGGGTGGCCTGAGAGGCAGCACTGGGTGGCCTGAGAGGCAGCACTGGGTGGCCTGAGAGGCAGCACTGGGTGGCCTGAGAGGCAGCACTGGGTGGCCTGAGAGGCAGCACTGGGTGGCCTGAGAGGCAGCACCGGGTGGCCTGAGAGGCAGCACTGGGTGGCCTGAGAGGCAGCACTGGGTGGCCTGAGAGGCAGCACAGCCATCATGCATGCTGTCATGGTCCGATCTCCTCCTCTCCCTCCTTCGCACTCACTCACACCACCTCACACTCACGTGTGTCATCCCACACTCGCATGCATCATCCCACACTCACATGAGTCGTCCCACACTCACATGAGTCGTCCCACACTCACATGAGTCGTCCCACACTCACATGCATCGCCCCACACTCACATGAGTCGTCCCACACTCACATGAGTCGTCCCACACTCACATGAGTCGTCCCACACTCACATGAGTCGTCCCACACTCACATGCATCGCCCCACACTCACATGAGTCGTCCCACACTCACATGTGTCGTCCCACACTCACATGTGTCGTCCCACACGAGTGGCACGGCCCCCACAGCAGCGCGGGCGTTGTTGTGAACATCGAGATAGTCGGAGTTGGGAAGGGCAGCAGAGGAGCACTTGTTGTCGATGAGGCGCGTGTAGGGCGCGGGGCACTTGCACACGGGCGTACCGCTCTGCACCACACACGTGGCCACGTCCGGACACTTGACCCCGTAGCATCGGTCTGGAGAGCGGAGGGAGAGAGGTGGGGGGAGGTGGGTGGGATGCCTTTTGAGACGTCTCAAAACACGTCCGGACATTTCACGCCGTACCAACGGTCCGAAGAGCAAAGGGGAACGGGGGGGGGAGGGAGGGCGGTGGGATGTGAAAAGGGGTGCGAAGATCGGGAGGGATGAGGACGGGTGGGACAAGGAAAAGAGGTGACAGGAGTAATCATCCAGACACTAATAAGCACCTGGGGAAAAGCAGTGCTTTGAAACATCTGGATGAACCATAATCACCTGAGCTGGAGCACCTGGCTCTGTTGCAATCACCTGGGCAGGAGCACTTGGCAATGGCAGCGGAAGAGGAGCAGGTGCAGTTGGCGGGGCAGGAGACGATTGAGCAGATGTCCATCGCTGGTGGCATGGGAGGGCGGGCGACGGGGAGGCGGGGGAGCAGGTGAGGGAGGGAAGGGCGCTGCTATCAGCATCCACACCATGCCCCACCCAACTCAACCATTGCCAACCACTCTACTCCCCAATGCTGCTCACCCTCGCACTGCCCGTTGACCTTGGCGTAGCCAGCCACGCAGTTACATGTCGCGCCAGAGACCTGGGCCACACACACGGAGTTGGCCGGACACACCGTCTCCTTACACGCCCCGCTGCCACCCGTGCTGCCTCCCGTACTGCCGCCCGTGCTGCCGCCCGTGCTACCAGTGCTGCCAGAGCTACCGGTGTTGCCGGTGGGCACGCCTGTGCCGGGCTCCGTGGTGCTAGCAGGGTCGGCAAAGGCCTGGCACGACATGGACTTGGCTCCCGCCACCACCCCGCCCGTTACTCTGACGGGACGAGGGAGAGGGACGTGGGCGAAGGAGGCGAGAAGGAGGAGAGCAGGTTATGGTGGTGGCATGAGGCACACTGGAAGTACAGGGCAGCACGACAGTGTGGTGTGGAGGCAGCACAGCCGGAATGCGGCGGACTCACTGAATGCTGGTGGGCGCGTAGGTGGTCTTGGCGGCATTAGCGGCCTTCCACCCGCCCGGCACCTCCCACCCCGACCCCGAGCAGCAGCAGTCGGGCTGGTCCCAGAAAAACACCTTCCCGCACATCACGCGACTCGCGCCGCTGCTGCCGTCCTTCACGCTCCACAGGATGCGCAGCGACCCGATGGCGCCCGCGTGCGACGCGGGCAGGTTCACGCACGTGCGGTTCGGGATGGCGCCGCGCAGCGCGGAGGGCGGCGCGGGGGAGAAATCGGCGGAGGAGAATAGCAGCACGCTTGTCGCCACCACCTGCCCGTCCACGGCTGGGCGGGGGCGCGGCGGGGGGGAAGGGGAAGGGGAAGGGGAATGGCGAAGGGGAGGGGAAGGGGAGTGAGCTGAATGGGGGAGATGGGGAGGGGAGGCGGCAGGGTTGGGGGGAAGAGCGAGAGATGGCTGTTGAGAGCAACGGGGGAATGTGGGGAAGCAGCATTGGGAGCATGATGAGCCGTTGATCTCACCTGGCACACACGAGCCGTTGATCAGCGCAAGGGTCCCGTCGCACTTGCAGAAGGGGAAGCCGTTGCCGTCCGCGACGCACGCCGCGCCTTGCGGGCACTGCACGCCCTCGCACGCGACGGCCGCTGTGGTGACGGACGCGGACGGGCGGGCCGAGGGGGAGCGGGGAACGGAGGGGGAAGAGCGGAAGGGAGTGGGCAGAGGGGAATGAGTAAAGAGGAATGAGAGGAGGGGGATGAGAGGGAGAAGGGAGAAAAATCCCGCACCCCAGGAAACGCGCAGCGAAAGGGTCGAAAGGTGCGGCGCACGTGCGCTTGCGCAAGGCCCGGTGGCTCACCCGACTGCTTGCCCGCGCCGCCGGTCTTAGGCGGCGGCTTCTTGGTTGGCTTCTTGAAACCGCCGAAAGGGTTCCACAGCCGCCGGTGGAACGGACCGTGCGACACCAGGGGGCCCTCTAACCGTCGCCTGTGCGCATTTCCTGCGACGATTGCGTCGCCAATTATTGTGCGACCGCCTACGGTGGCGATAGCGGCCGACGCGAGATGGTGGGAGAGGAGGGCGGCATGAACCAGGAGGGCGAAGAGGAGGGGGAATCGGGAGAATGTGAATGGCGTCATCATGCGCGCGCCGGGGCGCAGTGCGCGGAGTGGCGCAGTCCGCGAGGAGGCGCAGTCGCGGGTAAGGTGAACGCGGAGAAGAAAGCAGAAGGTTTTAGTATCGGTGAAAACAGATTCACTATTTGGGAACGAAAGCAGTAAATTTGTCAAGAGAATGACGATGATCAGCCAGAACCTGGAATATGGAGATCACGGTGGGAAATACATGTGCTTGTGGTTAGATGCACCAGAGCAGACGGCTGTGGTGGGTGGGTGTGCTTGAACAAGGGGGAGGTTAGGGAAGGGAAAACTTCGAGGTTGCATCCACTCCGCTCCACATCCCTGCGCCCAGGCAAATTCCATGGGTGCGGTGCGGTGCGGGCATTGGGATTTGGGAAACAGTGTCGACTGTACAGTACGCAGGTGTATTGGCCATGAAAGCCACCTACCACCCACCAACGACAAAAGAGTTGCCCGACGTCAACGTCAGCGGCGGTTTCGTTCGAAGTCAGAAGGGAATCGCTAGTTACGTCGGTTACTGCACGAGGAATTTGTGAAGGATTTGCCGTTTTGATTCGGCCGTCTTGATTGGCCAATCGTTATTGCCAAAACTGGAATTTCGGTTACTGCAACCCAGACTCACATTTCGCCAGAAATACGGATTTCGCCTGGTTTATACGCGCTAAAGGGTGTACCGCTCGGTGCACATGCACTGAATCTAAAGTCGGTTCCTCCTCAACTCCATTTGTTACAAATATGCAATTCTCAAGTAATCTCTGCAACGTAACCTTACTGGATGTAGCGTTCCCGATATTTGAGCCGGAGGAGAGCTTGTCAGTTTTCGGCGTTGTCTGTATCGGTAGCTTGTAGTAGCGGGGATGGAGGAGTCGGATGAGGGCCGCGATTCAGCGCGGCGGGCGCGCGGAGACGAGCGACGATCGCGACACGGGCACGACCGGCACCACCACCGCCACCACCACCACCATCACCACCATCATCAGTCCCCCGCGCACTCCGCGGGAAGCGGATCGAGCGGCGATGAGCGCGATAGGGGGAGGGAGGAGCATGGGAAAGGGCGCGAAGGGCGGAGCGAGGGGAAGCGGAGGCGGGATGAGGGGAAGGAGCGGGAGAGGGAGTGGGGCAGAGAGGGGGACAAGGATGGAGACAGGTTCGGGCCGAAGGAGAGGGATAGGTCCGGAAGCGATCGGGAGAGAAGGAAGGATCGGGAGCATGATGGGGAGAAAGACGATCGCAGGGAGAGAGGAAAGGACAGGGATAGAGACAGGGACAGGGATAGGGATAGGGATAGAGATAGGGATAGAGATAGGGATAGAGATAGGGAGAAAGATCGGGATCGACATAAGGATAGGGATAGGGACAAGGATAGGGGTAAGGATAGGGATAAAGATAGAGATAGGGATAGGGAGAGAGGTCGCAAAGAGAAGGAGCGTGAGAAGGAAGGGGAGAAGGAACGGGATGGGGAGAGGCACAGGGAGAGGGACAGAGAACGTGACAGGGAGAAAGGGAAGAGCAAGGACCGGCACAGGGATAAGGAGACGGGCAGAGAGAAAGACAGGGAGCGGGAGGAGAGAGAACGGGAGGAGCGCGAGAGGGAGGAGCGGGAGCGGGAGGAGCGGGAGCGCGAGCGGGAGAGGCGGAGCGCGCGGCTGGAGTCGCTCAAGGCGCTGACGGGCGGCAAGGGCGAGCGCAGTGACAGGCGCCGCGAGAGGGCGGGCGCGCGAGGGCGCGAGGAGCGGGTGGGCGCGGCGGAGGGCGCGCAGGGGGGTGCGGGTGGCGGGGAAGGGATTCAGGGAGGCGAGGGGGGCGGGGTGGGGGGAGGGGTGGGGGGAGGGGAGGGTTTGGGTGTTAAGGGAGATGGGTTGGGGGCTAAGGCAGGGGATGGGCTGGGCGGTAAGGGAGGGGAGGAGGCTGCTGGCGAGGCTCAGGAGGCTGGGCTGCGCAAGCTGCGGTTGAAGCTGTCAGGTGCTTCTTCAGGTGGGTGTCAGGTGCTTCTTCAGGTGGGTGTCAGGTGCTTCTTCAGGTGGGTGTCAGGTGCTTCTTCAGGTGGGTGTCAGGTGCTTCTTCAGGTGGGTGTCAGGTGCTTCTTCGGGTGGGTGGGTAGGAAAGCCGTGGACAGAGAAGTTTAGTTTGGAACAACCTCACAGAGAGGAGAGAGAGAGGTGAGAGAGGAAGGAGAGAGAAGGTGAGCCAGGCTGGTACGTACGTCCTCCTCTGATGCCCCTCTTTACCACCATCCCCCCCCCCCCCTCCCCCGCTTCTCCCCTCCGCCCATACCTCTGCAGGCGCGCAAGTGCTCAAGGTGCCGCGCTCACACTCCAAGGGGAGGGCAGGGGGGGCGGGGGGCGGGGCTGTGGGGGGAGGGGCAGCAGGGGGTGTGGAGAGTGGAGGCGGGGAGAGGAAGAGGCGACACCGACTCATTCTGCAGGTGAGGGGGGGTAGGATGGGGAAATGGGGCCCTTGGGAAGTGTAGGGGGGATGTGGGGTCTGGCGCATGGTGCTTATGCTGCTCATGTTGCGTGGGGGCATCGGGTGTTGGGGTGCATGCTTGCGCTGCAGCCGTTATTGCTTGAGATTTCTGAGAATTCTCAAAATTTCCGTACACTGCACTGGTTGCTTGCTCTCATCACCCGTTTCTCTCCTCCTCTCCCTCCTTCTCGCCCCCGCTTCTTCCCTCCGTTTTGCTGGTACCATACAGGATAACTCAGATGAAGAGGAAGAGGAGGATGGTGTTGCTGCTGTTGGGCAGAGAGCAAGAGGGGAGGAGGAGGAGGAGAGGGGGGTGGGTGAGGGTGAAAGTGCGCGACACAAAGCAGTGGGGGAGCTGGGCGAGGAGGAAGAGAGGGAGGAACAAGATGAGAGGGAAGAGGAGGAGGAGGAAGTGGAGGAGGAGGGTGAGGGGGGGAATGGAAGGTCAAAGAGAAAGAGGAGGAGGATTCTGGATTTGAAAGTGGAGGAGAGGAGGGAGGCTGACGAAGGGGTGAGGGAGGAGGGCGGGGGTGAGGAGGAGGGGGTGGAGGTACTAGAGGATGGTGCTGAGGGGGAGAAGGGAAGGGGGGAGGAAGAACCTGGGGCAAGAGAAGGAGAGGAGGAAGAGGAGGAAGCGGCGGGGGAGGCGGGTGAGGAGGACGAGGAGGAAGAGGAGGAGGAGGGGGATGCGAAGAGTGTGGGGGGCGCGGAGGAGGGCGAGGGGGAGGAGGGGGAGGGGGACGTGGTGTATGAGAGTGGGGGGTCGCAGCAGGGGGAGCCGTCAGCAGCAGCAGTAGCAGGCAAGGAGAGCCCAAGGGACACTGCAGCTCAGCATGACTTCGCCTTGGACCCCTTACAAGGTGACTCGTTACAAGGAGATCACGCAACTAGTATGTGCGCGATTTGTTTCTCTCTCCCCTGCTCCATTTTGCCACCATCTGCTGAGCCCCTCAAGAACCCTGTGCCTCACTAACTTCCCCCCTTCTCGCATTCCTCCTCCCTCCCTCCCTCACTCCCTTCTCTCCCTTCTCTTCCCTCCCTCCCCCCTCCTCTCTGGCCGCCCATCCCCACCCCCTCAGCCCCACGTCGCAGCCGGCGCAGCATGAAGCTCCCAGCACCCTCCTCGCCGTCCTCTGCCGCCCACGCCGCCCGGGCGGCAGCGGAGGTGGAGGCGGCGCGGCAGCTGAAGCGCGAGGAGGCCGCCCGACGCCGCAAGCAGCAGTCGGAGCGGGCGGCACGCGCCGTCCAGGAGAACGCGATCCAGAAGATTCTCGGGCAGGACGGGTCGAGGAAACGGAGGGAACAGAAGATTCAGAAGAAGCGGCAGGAGGAGGCTGAGGTGGGTGGAGGGGGTGGTTGGAAGGGAGTGAGCAAGCATCGGGGAATGAGGGAATGGGGGGGAAGTGTGGGTGTGAGGTTGTGTTGTGAGGTGGATTTTGCTGGGTTTATCCTGCCGTCTGCTGGGCTGCTCCTGCTGCTGCCTGCTGGTAACATCTCTCTACTGGTCTGCCTGTCTCCATGCGTTCTCCTCTCCCCACACGTGCAGGAGCGCCTAGCAGCCAGTCAGGTGCCGCCACCTGGCTTGGTACGCATGCGGTTCACAGCAGACGGTGTGACAGTGGCATGGTCACCCGACTCCCAACACCCCGCCATGTTCCGCCCCCAGCCCCCATTGTCGCTGTGAGTTCTGCCCCTATGGCATGGTCACCCGACTCCCAACACCCCGCCATGTTCCGCCCCCAGCCCCCATTGTCGTTGTGAGTTCTACCCCTGTGGCATGCTCATCCGACTCCCAACACCCCGCCATGTTCCGCCCCCAGCCCCCATTGTCGCTGTGAGTTCTGCCCCTGTGGCATGGTTGCGGAGATTCACTCTACAACGGTAGTGAGCTAGACTATGGGGAATGGCACGAACTACTAGGAGTGATCGTAGCTTTGCCTAGTTGTTTAGTGCTTGCACAATCACGGGAGCAATCGGCAAAAGTTTCCACTAGCAAAGTTGGCATTCCAGAATTGTTGAACAAGCAATGACATCGACCTTGATCACCCCTCTCTGTTTCATGCCATCGTTGCCGCTGACTCGTGCACCGCCGTCGACCTCGTCGTCGACGCCACATTCGTTTCGCACCGGTCGAGGTGAAATAGGACAGGAAGGGTGTTCCGTCGCCAACTGCGACCTGATGCCCAACTCGACAATCAGCAAGGGGATCGTCCCGTACTCGCCATCCGCGTGGCGTTTCCTCGCATCAGCCAAGCGTGCCTCCAAGGTGTCCGCTACGCCCGCATTAGCTACAGGGTCGACCATGGTGACTATCGCTGCTGCCGGCCTACGAACGACTTAGAAGGTGCAAAAGTCGGCTCCTATCTGAAGGTAATCTGCGGGGCCGTCCACGCTCACCGCACCATGCGGAGATTCACTCTACAACGGTAGTGAGCTAGACTACGGGGGTTGGCACAAACTACAAGGAGTGATCGTAGCTTTGCCTAGTTCTTTAGTGCTTGCACAATCACAGAAGAAATCGGCAAGAGTTTCCACTAGCAAAGTTGGTCTTCCATAATTGTTGAAGACAACAATGACTACATCAGGCACATAGCAACTCTGCAGGTAGCTTGGTCGACCGACAGCACAGCATGGTCGACCGCCTGCCAGCGTTGCGTAGAGGAGCCGCGCCAGCACTGCAGAAAGGCGACCTGCCAACACAGCAGGTCGACGGTGTGCCAACGCTGCAGCAGAGCGGCCGTCCAGCGTTGCCCCGTAGAAGACAGCAGTGCGCGCAGACGATTGGCCCGACTTGCACCGTTGTGCATTCGTCGGTTGTTGTCTGCGCGTGACGAGCCACATCGACTTCGGGATACCAACCCGAAGTCGCCTTCGCCATCGCGACCTCGACGATGTTCGCGTGCCTCCGCAGAACTCGCCGAGCAGGTTACCCGGTCGACCTGGACAACCCCAGGTGCTCTGGTCGACCACCAAGTGCCTCTGGTCGACCACCGGGTCCCTCTGGTCGACCACCAGGTGCCCCTAGTCGACCACAGCATTCGTCGAGCTACCCCCTGGTCGACGGACCCCTTCCGTCGACCAGAACGGTCAGTTGTTGTCGTCGAGCTCCCCTCGTCAACCGCTGCTCACTTGCCAGGACCACGGACTGCTCCGTCGACCTCCCGGTCGAACTGCCCCTCCTGGTTGACAGCCCACCTGTCGCCCAGACTAGTCAGTTGCAGCTGTCGAGCTCCCTGGTCGACAGCAACACCACAGCGGTCCCCTGCAGCTCGACGAAGCCTGTCAAGCAGCTCTCCTACTGTGAACGGTCGGCTGCTACTCCCGTACATCCGACGAAGTCGTCGGCGTTGCCCAAGCAAGGGCGGGGCCAACACTCCACTCCCGTTAACAATGGTCACCCGACTCCCAACACCCCGCCATGTTCCGCCCCCAGCCCCCATTGTCGCTGTGAGTTCTGCCCCTGTGGGATGCTCACCCGACTCCCAACACCCCACCATGTTCCACCCCCAGCCCCCATTGTCGCTGTAAGTTCTGCCCCTGTGGCATGCTCACCCGACTCCCAACACCCCGCCATGTTCCGCCCCCAGCCCCCATTGTCGCTGTGAGTTCTGCCCCTGTGGCATGCTCACCCGACTCCCAACACCCCGCCATGTTTCGCCCCCAGCCCCCATTGTCGCTGTGAGTTCTGCCCCTGTGGCATGGTGAGCCTTGCGCTCCGCATTGTTCATTCCAGCACTTCCTTCAATCCATACATGTCTCTCCTCCTTCTGCTGCCCTGCTGCCCTGCAGCCCTCCTGCCCTGCTTTTCTGCTGCCCGTTTTGCCCCTCAGCCTTTCCTGTCGCTCCTGTGGGTAGCACTAGGGTGGGTCAATTACTGCCTTCCCCCCCGAACCCCCAACCCACCACCCCTTCGCCCCCCCCCCACCCGCCAGCCCGCCCCCTCGCCCCCTGTGTGCAGCAGCAGGGTGCCACAATCCATTCCGCTATCGCGACTCCAAAACCCGCCTGCCGCTCTGCTCCCTGCAGTGTTACAAGAAAATCCACGCCGCCCTGCCTGTTGCGGCTGTCGCCCAAGCCGCCGGCACTTAGTGTGTATAGGTAGCTTGGGGTAGCTGCTATGGTACCTGTCACGTGGTATGTAGGTGCTATGCACATATACTGGCCACTCCCATGGCTGCTGGAAGCACAGGGGGCTGTACCCCCTGTGGTACCGGTACTGCTAAGGTGTTTTCAGCTGGCTCAGCAGTCTCCATTGGTTGCTGTTAATTGCAGGGCCCAAAATTGGTTGGGCCACCCTGACAAATCAGGGTGCCATAGAGGTTTACCCTGACTGCTAGGGTAAATAAAAAGTTACGCTGTCAAAATCAGGGTGTTTTAGGAGACACACTGATCAAGCAATGGTATTTTTTTCTGCACCCTGTCTCAATGTACGGTATAACAAACCTGGGTGGGGGCTGGGCAGGAGGGGAAGGGGTATGTGGCAGCAAAGTTGCCGTTGTGTTTGCAGGACATGGCGTCGGGAGGGTTGGAGGGGGAGGAGGAGGGGTGGGGATGACTAAGGGGTTTTTCTGGCCAGTGAGAGTGGATGGGGGGGATTCTCATCTGCAAGTTTCTGTATCAGGGTATTTTCTGCAACACCCCTACCAGCCAAGGGAAAAAACTCGTGACCCTGATTTTCTAAGGGTAAAAATAAAGGAACACTTTTATAGAAAGGGTAGTACAGCAAGCACACTTGCAAAATCAGGGTAAACTCCAAAAAGCGGCCCATAGCAAGGGCAAACAGGGTAATTTACCCTTCAATTTTGGGGCCTGGTTAGTTATACTAAGGAGTTTTCATGTACATACAAATCAGGCACAGAGATTAATGCCATGAGCAAAACCACCACGACTTTTGCCACAACCACCTAATATAAGCTTATCGGTTGTTGCCGGTCGCACTGCACAAAGCAATCAGGGTGTATTGTGTTGAGGGCTTTCTAGAGAGCAGGACGAGGTTGGGTGGGAGAGCATGGTTTGCTACGAGGACACATAAATGACTCAGTGGCTCCCTCACATCCCCTCGGCCGCCGCTGACATTCGTGCTTCAGGGTCAGCAGCCCTTTCACTCCTGCATTCCTTCCTTGCCCCCCTCATTCCTCAGTCACTATCACTGTTTCAGGCCCACTGTTACGCGCCTCACTCCGCCTTCCCCCCTCTTTGCTACCAACTCCCCTCCCCGCACTCTTCCCTCCTTTCCTCCCACTCTTCCCTCCTCTCCTCTTCCCACTCTTCCTTCCTTTCCTCCCACTCTTCCCCCCTCTTCCATGCCGTCTCCCCCCCATCTGCTCCTCACTGCTCGTCCCAGCCAGCCCACCTCGCCCCTTGCCTCTCACCCCCCTCACACCAGGCCACAGTGCCCCTCTCTGCCCTCCCGGCGCCTTCCCTGCCCCTGCCCCCACTCCAGGCCCCTTCCCAATGCCAGTCCCAGGCCGTTTCACGGCGCTCTTTCCTGCCCCCTGCTGCTGCTGCCCCTTCCCTGCCGCTCCCCCCGCGCCCTTCTCTCCCCCCTGCCTTCCCCCCGTCCCCATCTGATCAGCCGCCCCTGTGCCGGGCGCCTTCACGGCACCCCCTGTCCCGGGCATCTTCGCGGCACCCCCTGTCCCGGGCACTTTCCCTGGGCCTGCACTGCCTGCCTGCACGCCAGGAGCCTTCGGCTTTTGCCCCCCTTGCCTCCCTCCCGCCCACCCCCCTTTGCTCCCCACTGGTCTCGTGGGGACGCTTCCCGCTGCCTTGCCCGCCCCCCCTGCACCACCTTTTCCCACACCTCCTGCCCCCGAGCCCACATCACCTGCCCCCGCCCCAACTCCACTCTTCCCCGCCCCGCCACCACCTGTCCCCGCCCCCGCACCACCCGGCACCCCGGCCCCGCCCCTCTTCCCATGGAAGAACCACTCTTCCACCACCCTCGGCAGCTGCCTACCCAGCACGTCCACCTTGCCCACCCACTCCCCATACACCGCGGAACAATGTGATGTAGAGTTCATAAGAAACGACTCAAACCACACGCCCTGCTGCCGCTTCACCCGCTGGATTCCCAGCACTGTCCGTGCCAGCCGGCTCTGGTAGAGGTGGAGAGCGGTAGGGTGCGGGGCAGAGCGGGCTGTTGTCCATGCACTTCTGGATGCGCACAGAACCGTTGATTAGGGGCGGGGCGAAGGTCATCTTGACGGCGATCTCGTCCTGCAGGCTGTTGACGACCATGAGGGGCGTGCGGAGGAATGGCAGGTTGTACTGCGGGAGTAGGCACTTCCATGGCTCCTGTGCGTGTGCTGTGGGGGAAAAGGGAATGGGGGAGGAAGGGGAATGGGGAGGGAGGAGGAGGGGAGGAGGGGAGGAGGCGTGAGGGTGGGAGAGAGAGAGAAGAGAAGCAGGGTGTGGGGTAAGGCAAGGTAATATTGATGAGCAGCAGCGAGCGGAGGAAGGGCAGGTTGGACTCGTAAGTAAACACTTCAATGGCGGCTGCACGTTCGCTGGAGAAGGTGTGGTGCTGGGTAGGTGTAGGGGGGATAGAAAGAACGTGTGGGGCAACGGAGAGTGGAGGGGAGGCGAGGGGCGAATGCCTAGCCCCATGCGAGATGACTCGAAGATGGGTTCCCACCCACACGCGCACTGACTTTGCCGGCGGCCGGGCGGGACGCCCGCCCCATGCGGTGGAACTTGAAGACCCTCGTTTGAGAGTTGTCAAAAGAAGCAAGGAGCAGGGAAATGCAGAGGAGGCTGCAGTCCGAGTGAATGCCCTGTGATGCGAACTTGCACACGCACCTTGCCGGCAGGCAGGGGGAACGCCCAGCCCCATGCGGTGGAACTTGAACAGCCGCTCCACGCTCTGCCGCCACGTCAGCCGCCCCTGGATGTCCGGCGTGTCTGTTGCGCGGGGCGTGGTGGAGGGTGGTGGGCATGGCGGGTGGTTATGGAAAATGGGGCATGATGCATGACGGATGAGGCATGACGCATGAGGCATGGGGCATGAGGCATGACGCATGAGGCATGACGCATGACGCATGAGGCATGACGCATGATGCATGACGCATGAGGCATGATGCATGAGGCATAACGCATGACGCATGACGCATGAGGCATAACGCATGAGGCATAACGCATGACGCATGACGCATGAGGCATGAGGCATGAGGCATGAGGCATGAGGCATGACGCATGACGCATGAGGCATGACGCACACACGCACCGAGGAGGAATCCCGCGTCCATGAGGCACTTGACGGAGGCACCCAGGGGTGCGGCAAGGGCGGGCACATCGAGACGCAAAGGGGGCAAGCAATCAGGGCAGGCAGCGCGTACCGAGGAAGAAGCCCGCGTCCATGAGGCACTTGACGGAGGCGGACGGCAGCGCGCGCGCCATGGCGTCGCACGTCATCGCCACGGCCTGCGCGCCCGCGGAGCATCCGCTGAACAGCACGTTGCGCGCCGAGCCCAGCCCGCGCAACCGCAGGTCTGCGCACGGTTTCGGCGGGGGTGGCCGGCGAGGAAGTGGGATGGGGAAGTGATCAGCAAACCCCGAAGCGGGAAAATGAGGGATGGCGCGCAAGAATGGTCAGAGCGCGTACCGCGAATGGGGCGTACCACGAGTGGCGCATACCGTGAATGACGCTGGCGAGCGAGGCGTGGCCTTCGAGGAAGAACGGGCTCGTCAGGTTGGCGGTGTAAGCGCCGCGCGAGCCGGCGTAGAGCCCGCCGTCGCAGTAGACGACGAGCACGGCGTTCCAGTCGTTGAAGGTGGGGTTCTCGTGCCCCTTGCGGCTCAGAATGCCCGCGAACCCCGCGCCGAACTCGTTCATCTGCGCGCACACACACACCGCCGCCGCCGCGCGCGCACCCGCATTACTCCGGGCTTACTTGAACAAAAAGCGTCTCAGCGATGGAGAAGCGTTTTGATAAGCGTTACGGGGCTTACTGTCTCGTTGCTTACCTTAGCGAAGAAGCTTTTGGATCCAGGTTCCGGCCATAGGCGCGTGGAGCCGAGGCTGGTCTGCGCGCGCACCATGCACTGGCTGCGCGACGTGCACCAGCTGCCGCCCTGGCGGGAAGGCAAGGGGAGAGGCGAAGGATTGAATTTAGAGTCGTCTCTAAAGCCAGGGGCCCGTGGATTGGGGGCTGGTCTGCGCGCGCACCATGCACTGGCTGCGCGACGTGCACCAGCTGCCGCCCTGGCGGGAAGGCGGGGAAAGGTGAAGGAATGCGGGATGGGGCAAATGAATGCGAGGAGTGGCGAATGGATGAGAGGAGTGACGAAGGAATGCGATGAGTGCGAGATAATTTATGGACAAATGGAATGCGGCTTACGCGGAGAATCTAGCACTGAGTAGAAGTTTCTCTTTCGAGGTGCCCCAGATATGGGACGCGGAGGCGATCAGGGAATTAATAGGTGGATGCGGCGCGAAGCAGGGAGACGAAACTACACGGAGATGAGGATCGACTGGACGAAAGGAATAGCGACAGAGAAAGACGAGGTGGTGGTGTTAGTAGATGAGCAGGCACGGCAGCAGATGTGGACATGACGTCAGCATACCATGAGGTGCACGACCCAGTTCTGCGCGCCGCGCTTGTTGCCCTTGCGAATGTAGTACCCCGGCTCGCTGCGCGCACGGGATCCAATTTACCGTGGGAGAAGAAGGGGAAGGGGGGAAAGAGGAGGTGGGGACATGGGGCGAGTGATGAGATTGCAGCAGATGCTGGTTGATGCGTCGCTGTGGATCTCGCAGCGACGCTCGCATGTCGCACAGCCAGCGTGGCGATGAGCTCGGCGACGGGCTCTACAGATTCAGTAGCCCTCTCACGGCTCATGTGCTGATGAGCTGATCTGCTGTCTATCTAAACTCTGCTGCGTCGTCGCGTTTGCTCAAAATGCGTAAGATTGTGGGAACAAAATCGAAGCCGTACCTTCCGTCTAAACATTTCCCGTGGTACACGTTGGTCTGGTTTAGTCGGAAGAATTGCATCCCGCGCTGCGCGCCGGATATATCAAGAGCGGCGCACGAAAGCGTTTCGCGGCACAGAATCGTGAGGACCGCCGGTACCACCACTGCCATCCACAGCACCTGCCGCCGCTCCATGGCGTGAGCTCTAAATTAAAGTAACCCGCAAACATTCGCTACTCCACCGAGCTACGCTGGACCATGGCCGCAGGGGACGAAAACTCTTCGAGACACCCAGAGAGACCTAGACGCTGGCCGGCTCTAAAGAGATGTTATTTTCAGCTGAATAGCTAGCTCGTTGGTGTTGTGAAGCAAGGAACCGTCGAGATCTTACAGGTAGACAAGTGTGCGAAAAAGCTTGTTGAAATGTGAGTTGGAAGAAATTGGTTTACTGGTACTATGCGCACAGGAAGCTCGGGCAGACTTTCCCGTCGAGTCGCCCTTGACGGAGCTGATTGAATGTCAAATGCGCCTCGGAATTGAGGGAAGAAACGCGGCCGAGATGGACATTGACAAACCGAGCTCCCTCGGCTTGTGTTCTGTCCTTGTCTGGGAGCCTGGGATGACAGCTTCGTTGCTGCCCTGCCAGTTTCTCCTGCCAGAGCAAACGAGCCAGGCCAAGGCGGCACGGGAAAAGGTTAAAGCCAGGATCTCAAGTAAGAGAATTGGCCTTCAATTGCAAAACACTTGCAGCGCTTGTTACCCTATTTTTGTAGGCGAATTGACTGGCTGGTTAGGAAAGTGAGCGTGCGGCACACCCACGATTTTGCCCCTAGAGCAAATGCAAAACATTTTGCTGGTACATGAGATTGTTGCGTGTGACGAGAAATTGCAGGCATTGGAGCTTCGTCACCGAACCAGTTTCCGAGCCTTGCTTGGTTCGGACTGAACTTGCGATTTGTCTTTACTTCGCACCCCTCGCTTCACACCTCGTCAGATTGTTCACCTCGCTAACCAATCGCAGCCCAGCTCCCCTCACCAACTGCAAAACAATTGAACTACTTGAGATCCTGGCTTTAAGACGGGAAACGGCTTTCCCCCTCACAGGTACAGCGGTCGCTCATATGAAATTATTGTAACAGATTGGACTAGAGAGCTCTAATTTTGATATATGCAGTTGTAAACTTTTGAAAACTTTTGAAATACAATTTTCAAATTTTCAAATTTTAAAGATTATGACAAGACTTGTAAAGGATTATGCAGTAAGGAGTCATCTGCTCCTTATCTCGTGGCAGGTCCACAGACCTTCCACCTAGTCGAAATCATTTCTAGATCTGAATCTAGATCAGCACACTCTACTAAGTTTCCATCAACCTCCTCTAGCTACTTCCTGACTGCTCGTGCAACGTTTATTCTCTTCCTAATGCCGTTCCACAAAATGGTAACGGAGCAACTGCTGCAACTTCGGGAGTGTCACGGGCGATGCGTTCGCTTTGGTTTCTGGCGCGCGATATGATGCTGCGGCGGGGACGCGACCCGATGTTGTTAGTGCGCTACATGCTGCCGTTGCTAGCGCTCAATCTGCCTCCGTTGTGTTTACGATAGCTGCTGGCGCGTGCGCGATCTGGTACTGCTGGTCCGTGCACGATCTGATGCTGCTGGCATGGGCGCGATCTGCTGCTGCAGGGGCGTGCCCGATCTGCTGCTGTTGGCGTAGGGGCGATCTGCTGCTGCTGGTTCGTGCACGATCTCCTGCACACTCCCCTACAGTTGGCGTGGGCGCGGGCGTGCCCGATCTGCTGCTGTTGGCGTAGGGGCGATCTGCTGCTGCTGGTTCGTGCACGATCTCCTGCACACTCCCCTACAGTTGGCGTGGGCGCGATCTGCTGTCGCTGCCGCGTGCACGATCTGCTGCTCCTGGCGCAACGCGTTGCTTCTGGCGTATGCGCGATCTGCTGCGGCGGGCGACTTCGCGATCTGCTGCTGCTGGCGATTTCGCGATCTGCTGCTGCTGGCGATTTCGTAAGCTGCTGCTGCTGGCGATTTCGTCATCTGCTACTGCTGACGTGCGTTCTATCCGCTGCTGATGGCGTTTCTACTCTCTGCCGCTTTTGGCGCCTGCGCAATCTGCCGCTGCTACTGTCTGCGCGATCTGCCGCTGCTGCTGTGTGCGCGATCTGCTGCTGCAATGTTGCTGCTGTACTGGTCGTGATCTGCTCCTGCTGCTGCGCGATCGCTGCTGCTAAGCGCGATCGCCGCTGCTGGCACTGATGCTGCTCGCTAGCGCCTCTGCTGTGGGGCGATGGCGCTCACGTAACACCACCTGTGCGTGGCGGGACACAGGCTACTGCAGCTACGATTTTGGTTGCGCTGCATATGGTTCTGCGAGTAACATAAGTCGCAATTTACAGCTACTCGTGTAACTGCACCATTTGGTGTCAAGATTTTGGTGACCTAAAAGATAATTGCATTTTGAAATATGGCCCTAAAGATATTGTAATTCTGTGCAAGGGACACAGCATGACATGTGCAGTATCGCACACCATAAGGGGCCTTTTGTATTTACAAGGTGGTACACCTTATATGCCAATAAGTTATAGCGTGTACAAAAAAAAATCAGGTTGAATTTACACACCTTAAGAGAAGCTATTTTTCGTCATCAATCTTTTTGCCTGAATTCAGGTTGAATTTTTGCCTTCCAATTTTGCGGGACGTGAAGTGTTACGAATAGTAAAAGATGAAGCATTATTGTGCACTCCTTACCGCAGCACACACTACAGTATCAAGGCTGAAGACGAAGAGGTGGAAGTGACGCGAAGGGTCGTGCGGTTACGAAGGGATTTGGACCGTCGGGCAGACAGCGTAAGGCAGCAGCATTGACGAGGATTCTGCCCAGGCAGTTTTGTAACCGTCTGGAGTCGCACGGTCGGGTTTCGCTGCAATAAGGGAACGTACCCCTTAGAGCACATGGCTAGCCTAGGTCGATTTGAATTCCCTTGTACTCCTATTTATTTTCCTGCATTCACATGTTATTATCATCTCAAGCATTTTACATCCACTCTGCTATTGAGGTCAAGCGCCCACCACTACTCACACGTGTGCGAACCTTCCTGAGGTGATCCAACCGTAGGTACGATCAACATCTTATCGCAACATGGTATGAGAGTGACTCGGGAATCCTTCACACTGCCACCTTCGAAATCTTCGACGAACGGAAAGTGACGTCCGACACACGCTCGCGTGTGAGAATGGCCGGAGGATCTGGTGGTCAGACAAATCTGGCGGCTGAAGCGCAGACCAACCCGGCTGCGACAAGCAAGGAAACGACGGCGATTGGAACCGCTGCCCTCGCACAGATGCTTCAGCGACTCACCAACCTGGAGCAACAACTCCAAACATTGAGGAATGGCGACGCGGGAACATCTTCCCAACCCACTCAACCGGCCTCGAACGGCCACAATACTGCCCCGCACACATTCTCCCTCGACACAAATGGCTCAACACCCAATACTCCCCGTCCCAGCGAAGAAGCAATTCTCTTTGCGCAATCAGGGTTCTAGAGCATATCTAAAATAAAGACAAGTGTGTGTTTTGACGGCAGAGACTTCTATGCGTGGAGCTTCGAGCTAGAACTACTGCTGCAAAACACGCATATATTTCATTACTTCGACGGGAGCTACTCAAGACCCGCTGAGGACACTGTTGACGCCCGGGCGCAGTAGTACAACGAGTCGTTGATGGCGTACGGCATCCTCCTGCATAATATGTCGCCGGCGGAGCAGTTGAACATTCGCTCGTACAAGACGACTCCTGCTCCAGCCCTCAATGATTGGCGCCATCTAAACGGTGTGTGCCAACCGAAAGATTCGGTTTCATCAAGCCGCCTGCTCCAGCAGCTACTGGAGACTAAGATGGCCTTAGGGGAGAAGGGTGCTCCAGCAGCTACTGGAGACTAAGATGGCCTTAGGGGAGAAGGTCAACAGCTTCATCAACCGCTGTCCGAGCTTACGCGATCCAATCGTGAAATTGCGAAGCACGATCTCAGAGGAGATTTTCGTGAACATCGTGCTTCAAGGGCTCGGACCAGAGTGGCGGCCCTGCAAGGCGCTTCTCCGACAGCAGGGGGTCATCTCGGAGGCCGCCCTATGCGCCGCCCTTCTCGTCAAACAAAGGGATATGGATCAGCAGCGACCAGCGCCGCGACGAGACCGGGAACGCCTCGCTTTCTACGCCGATAACACGGAGGACCGACGGCCGCGGCGCCTTTACTGCAAGTTTTGCAGAAATTTTGGTCAACTGCCAGATCGATGCAAATTCCGATCTCGCCCTCGTCAGACCAATCCGAGCAACTGGTCCGGCCGACAAGACGCACGAAATGAAACACGTCAAGCCCAGGGGCACCAACCCCCACCGTGCAACCTGAACCCAGCCGTTCAGCATCAGCAGCAGCAGTCGCAACAGACTGCCCCAGTCCGCAATATCATGGGCAACATGACAATGACGAGCCAATCCCGTCGTCCCCGCGAACGCTCACCGTCACCTGAGCGAGCACGCCAGCCAATCGGAGCGTTCTCGAACAACAATCAGTTTAGCACGCACCACGATTTCACCGACGACGACGAACAGGACTGGAATCTCCCAGTCCCGCTGCTTGAAAGTCCCCCGCACATACCTGATCAGCGGGCGGCTCCGATCGATTGGATCTCGGGCGAGCAATTTCTCAAATTTGACACACCGCATATCGTTACCCCGCGACTGGCGCTGCTCGCACGGAACGACAACAAGCGCTACAACGCGTGGTACCTGGATAGCTGTTGTGGGCAGCATATGGTGGGTTCTGAGCGTTACATATCCAACGCCGTCACCACCCCCGCCGTGACCTATGTCACCGTGGCGAACAATACGCGTCTGCGCGCAAGCGCGCAAGGAAACGTGGTACTCAAGGCCCGAGGGAGCAGGACGCACATCACACTGAAGAGTTGGGTACAAGAACTAACCCTAGTTGGGTTGTACCCTTTATGGGCTACCCTGCTATAGCCTACACAATACAAGCAATATAACATTCTGACACACCCCCATAGGCAAAGTGGGGGAGAACAAGCGGTCACAAGACCAGTCAAGAAAAGCAAAGCAAGCTCAGGGTGGATCACAAAGTCACCACACAATCCGAGCACAAGCAAAGGGCCACAAGGCTAGTTCACATGCAGAGTTATATAAAGAGCACAAACAGTATAGTGATCATAGCCTAGCAAGAGTAAACATGCAGGTATATATATGGATCACAGCACAAGCAAAGTCACACAGTGAGCAAGTGAGGCAAAGTAGGCACAAGGCCTAACACAGTAGAGAAGCTCTGATGATCACCAGGCGGAAGTGCCTTGGTGAATATATCAGCAGTGTTGGCCCCAGTGGCCACGTACGCAAGACGAATCTGGCCACGCTGCTGCAACTCTCGATCAAGGAAGTATCGCAGAGCGATATGCTTTGTTCCGTGCTCCTGTCTGTGCTCCTGACACAAGGCAATCATGGCCTTGTTGTCTACGTACAGAACTGGAGGTGAACGAGGCTGCTCTCCAAATTCAGTCAGCAGGTAGGTGAGCCAGCGTAGCTCCTGTGCAGCCATGACCCTTGCGTAGATCTCAGCCTCACAACTGGAGCTGAGAACCGAAGACGAGCGGGTAGACCGCCAGGAAACAGAGCCGAAACCGAGGCTGAAGGTGTAATCCTCTGACGACCGCTGCGTAGCTGAGTCGTCAACCCAAGAAGCGTCTGCGTGACCAATGAGGACAACTGGACCCCGTCCTCCAAGCAAGAGCCGCATGCCCGACGTACTACACAAGTAGCGCAGTACCCTCTTCGCAGCATCCCAGTGCACCTTTCGGTGCCTACCGGGAGCCACGTAGCAAGCCAGGAGGCTGAGAGGGTACGCGAGGTCAGGTCGTGTGCATGTCATCAGGTACATGAGGCAACCCACAAGCTCTGGGTACGGACCACTCGCCTCTACAGACTCGTCCGAATGTGGAAATGAGAGCGAGTGGCTCGTAGATAGAGAAGTGGGCTGTAGCGAGGAGAACTAGAAGCCGAAGCGCTGAAGGACCTGATGCACCATGTGTGACTGAGTCAGTGTGATGGTGCGCCGTGCTCTGTCCCGGGTGATCTGCAAGCCAAGATAGCTGCGCAGTTCACCCAGGTCAGTGCAGGTGTGTCTCTTCTGCAGCTCTGAATTCACAAGGGTCAGTGCCTCAGTGTCAGCAGTGGCAAAGACGAGGTCGTCGACGTACACGAGGACGTAGAACGGTGGCAGCGAGGTGCCGGTGCGTAGAAACAGCGACGGGTCAGCAGTAGAAGGAGTAAACCTTAGAGCCGCAAGTGTATTCCTCAGTGTGTCGTGCCACTCGCGAGGCGCATGGCGGAGACCGTAGACTGGCCGCCGGAGGCTCCACTCGGTACCTGCAGGAAACGACCCAGTGAAGCCAGGTGGGCGGCGCAGCCAGATCTCCTCGTGAAGGCTGACCTGCAAGAAAGCTGTGCTGAAGTCCAGAGAGTGCAACTCGTAGTCGAACCCCTGTCGCAGCAACAACCGAAGAGTGGTCATCTTCGGGGTGGGGGAGAAGGTCTGGAAGTAGTCGAACCCCTGTCGCTGACTGAAGCCTCTGGCAACGTAACGCGCCTTGAAGGCAGGCGGAGAACCCGGCGGCCGCTTCACCCTGAAAATCCACATGCCATCGACTATGCTCGCCCCAGACGGGGGAACTGCGTCGACGTAAGTGCCTGTGGACTTCCAGGATGCCATCTCGGCATCCATGGCTGCCTGCCTGTGAGAGGAGTAAGGACCCGTAATCGCCTCTGCGTAAGAGCGCGGGGTCGAGATGTCTGGTGCATCCGGGTCTCCCTCAGGGGCAAGCAGCATGGAAGCGAAACGAGGTACAGCAGCTGCAAGACACTCAAAGTCCTCCTGCCTGTCCTCAAGGACGTCCGTGCCAAGAGCACACTCACCCCCGACGGACGGAGGACTGGCAGACTCAGACTCAGCAACAAGAGCAGTGGCGTAGTCTAGAGGACAGGCAGCAGCAAAGTCAAGCAGCTCAGCAACGAGGGCAGACGCAGCAGTGGACTCAAACGAGGGGTCAGTGACAACAGTGGCAAGAAGACGAGAGACAGTGGGACTGGCAGCACGAACGCCGTCAGACTCAAGGTCAAGGACGGCAGGAAGAGAGGACTCAGGAG